TTTCGGGGGGGGGGGGTGGAGTTGATGCCAAGAAAAATGTTCAGTTTTCTGAAGCAGGTGTTCAAAGCCAAACCCCAAACGTTGCATTTCGAACGGTCTTTCCCCTCCTCCCATTGGAGTCCACCGTAATTGGCAAGGTCATTGTGGAAACCGATCAGCATTTCGACACCTCGTGTTTCAGAGGGAGCGAAAATATCGAAATGTTTAATTTCCTGATGGGGATCTTTTGCAACTTTTCAGGCCACAAATTTTTTTGTTTGTTATTGACAGATTTCTACTTCACATCCCGATCTGGGACAAAAGCAGATGTCGAAATGGCCCTGTGCAAGAGAAACGTTCCTGACTAACTCCCTTCGGGTGACCAGCGCTGGAGTTGGGGGATGGGGCAAGCGGAGCAGGAAGTGGAGCCCTGCTGGGGTGGGGGAAAACCTCAATTCCAAGAGGACTTTGGGTTTCTGATGGGCCAGGGCCATGTGGGGCAGGGGCCAGGATGGGGGAAGGAAGCTACAGCAGAGCACAAGAGGGAAAGGGCTGCAGAAGACGGAGGAGCAGGGAGACAGGGCTGGTGAGCAGCAGAAGAGACAAGCAGGAGGTGGAGGAAGAGGAGGAGTTTGCCAGCGGCTGTGAGTTTCCTGAGCAGGGTGGGTTCCAGGCTCCCTCAGGGATCCCCCTGCCCCAGCACTTACTGGACACGTGCAGCGTGAATTCTCTGTAGGCGAATTGCTCTTTGTCTGTGCTGAATTCGACGGTGTAGCTGCCCGTGTCCTCCATCCGCAGGTCGGTGATCTGAAGCGAGTAGCTCTCATCAGAGAATCGCAGGCGTCCCTCGTAGGATGGGTTAAACACCAGGACGTGGGGAGGTTTCCCTGCAGTGACGGTGACTAGACTCCTTGTGTTTACCGACCAGGCCCCGTTTTTAAATTTCTGTTCTGCTGAGATCCTCAGGGGGAAAGTGACCGAGCCTCCCAGAATCCCGGTCAGCTCCGCCTCGTCTGCGGCTGCTCTGGAGTACTCTGGTGCACGGGAGGGAAGAACAGGGAATAGATCTACCATGGACGCACCAGGCCAGTTCCCTCCCCGGTCCCCGTTCATGCTCCCACAGGAACCGGGGGAGTCATAGATTACGGGAGTGCGAGAAACCGTTTCCCCTGGATCTGGGCTCAAAACCCACAGATTGCAGCTCTGGATGTCAAACGTCCCATGTCCAGGCAGCCTTCCCCCCTGGGGCGTTGGTTTGGATAGTACAGAGCGAGGAACCGTTTGTGAGGTTGAGAGCCGGATCTGGCTTTGGAACACATCCGCTCTTGGGGGACAGAGATCTGGTAGCAGTAGGGGGTTCTTACCCTTGCAGGGGGAGCAGCCTCTAGATAAAAGACCCTCAAAAGGGACAAAGCCCCTCACTGGGCTAGAGCGGGAGATGCTCTTCCAGGGGTTTTATCCACGAAGCCATGGGAAGCCGATGATCCTATTACAGCCCATTGAACAGCTGAACAAATCTGTCTATCTCCATGCCCACCCATCTCTCCCCCCGCCCCCCAGGTGCTGGGGAATGGTGGGTCGTGCCGTAACCACTGTAGCAGAGGGAATAGCTGCTGTCACAGTATCTCCACCTAGCAAATTATCTGCCAGGCGTTTTAGCAGCTGGGCCCTGCTGGTGCCAGGGGGAACCTCAAAGGGCAACTGCAAACCCCTTAGGGCAGCAGGTCTCCTGGGAGAGGCAAGTACCAGCCCTGGTAACTACCTCCCCGGCCGGAAGTAGCCAACGTGGCATTTCTGTGGGTATTGCTACATCCCCACTAGCGGTTCAGGGGCTGGGAAGCAGACGAGCGATGAAATGCAGGCTGAGATCCCGGGCCTCATTCTCCATCGCGCTGCGTCTTGCGTAACCACTTCCCCCAGGGCAAAGCCAGTGTGAAATGCCCCTGGTGTGATCCGGGAGCATTTTACATGCAGGGCCGCGGAGGATCGGGCCCGACCAGGGGGTCTTGGAAAAATCTTCTTGGTGTGCATGAGACGGGTCGACCCAAAGGGTAAGGTTGGTCCCGCCCGCCCCGTGGCTCACGCTGGGCCGGGCCCAGCTGTCGTACAGGCGCAAGGAGGGGCCGTTTCATCTCAGCCTCATGACTGTCATCGGGGACTCGCCCCCTCCCCACCCAAACCCCTTTCCTCTCCCCTCCCACTCCTGAGCCGGGCTCTCGTTCGCTCCCTCTCCAGCCGTCTGGGTAGTCTGAGGGCCCTGCTGCGGTTCTGTGTGCAGGTCACTCACGCTCCCAGTGTGGCTGGGCCCTGGCAGTCCCTGTGCAGGGGGTGGGGAGCTGGGGCAGGAAGCACTAATCCGTGTGGACCCCCCCGAGCAGCCGCCGGGAGCTGCCAGGGAAGCAGTAATAACCCTGCCCCGCTACCCCTAGGGACCAGCGCTCAGTGCATCCCCTGCTGCAACACGGCCACCTCGCAGGAGTCCCCCTCCCTCCCTCCTCTCGGCCTCCAGCCCCACAACCTGACCCCTCCTTTTCCCTTCCCCAAGTCCTCCTGTCTCCCTGCCCCAGATGTCCCCCCGCAACTCTCTATGCTTTGCCCTGCCATTATGCAGAGCATCCCTCCCAGCATCATCCCTCTGCCCCCTGCTGCGGGGAGATGGTCCCCCAAGAGCACAGGGGCGCTCTCAGGCCTGGCCAGACCCCTCCCTCGCCCCCCCCCTCCAGGCTCTTCGGGGTCTGTGTGGCTTCCCACAGGTCTTGCCCCCAGCTGCTGGAGAGGAGGGGACCCTGCAGGGTCAGGTGAGCTGGGAGTGCAGGGCTATTCCAGCCCCGGGCTCTCCCTCTGTTCAGCTCTGCTGATGCCCCTCAATCCCGACATGCAGCGCCCCCGTTCCAGCTCTGGACTCCCCCTCCCTCCCTCAGCTCTGCTGATGCCCCTCAATCCTGACATGCAGCCCTGAGCCCGCCCAGATTCCAACCCTGGGCTCCCCTTCCCTCCTTCAGCTCTGCTGATGCCCCTCAGTCCCGACATGCAGCCCCCCCGTTCCAGCCCTGGGCTCCCCTTCCCTCCTTCAGATCTGCTGATGCCCCTCAGTCCCGACATGCAGTCCTGAGCCCCCCACATTCCAGCCCTGGGCTCCCCTTCCCTCCTTCAGATCTGCTGATGCCCCTCAGTCCCGACATGCAGCCCCCCAACACCCCCGGTTATTTCAGCCCTGGCTGAGTAGCTGTTTGCAGGGCTGGATTAACTCTACATGGAAAAGAGGGCAAATGGATTGAATCAAACCCTAGACTCCCAGTTGCCCAAGGCGCGGGCTTTGTGGCTGACCCGTGGTCACTGTTTCCTGCACGCTAATTCAGACAGATCACTCACCTCCCGGCTGTAGGAGCAGAAGCAGCAAAAGAAAAGAAGGTCGAAGAAGAGCCCCCTCCATCCTGACAGCGTGGGGCAGCGGGTGTCGGAGAGCCTCACCAAATGGAGCCAGAGCCTGGAGCGGTTCGGATGGGGACGTCTGGCTGGCAGGGCGATCCTGGCTACCCTCTGTGGCTGAGGATGGACTGCAAAGAAATGAATCGCCCTGCGGCTCTGCAATTTCTCCACCGGGAGATGGGATTTGGCAAGACCAGATCCCTCTGGCTGTGATGTGACTCAGCTCTTGGGGTAAGTCACCCAATGAGCTCAAAGCAGCTGAGTTCCCTAAACCCCACAGGGTGTGTCACTCTGTGCGCGGGGCTACGCTCAGCCACGGTCCTCTAATTGCTCAGGGGTGGCGGGTGGGTCTAAAACGGACACGGCTCCTGCGTTATTGGATGGTTCTGTCTATTGCACCGGAGAGCCTGTCACGCTAGGAATTCACAGTTACCCTGGGGCCCCTTGACACAACAATAGCATCTACCTCGATAGCATTCATCACCATGTATTTTTTGACAGGTTTCCAGGAGAAAAAGGTTGAAAGAATAGAGTGAGAGAGCTTAAAGCAGGGATCGGCAACCTATCAGAAGTGGTGTGCCGCGTCTTCATTAATTCACTCTGATTTAAGGTTTCGTGTGCCAGTCATACATGTTAACGTTTTTAGAAGGTCTCTTTCTATAAGTCTGTAATATAGAACTAAACTATAGTTGTATGTAAAATAAATAAGGTTTTTAAAATGTTTAAGAAGCTTCATTTAAAATTAAATTAAAATGCAGAGTCCCCCAGGCCAGTGGCCAGGACCCGGGCAGTGTGAGTGCCACTGAAAATCAGCTCGCGTGCCGCCTTCGGCCCGCGTGCCATAGGTTGCCCACCCCTGGCTTAAAGATTAAAAAAAGAAAGTTTGGGTAAGGTTTAGAGGAAAAAAGGAAAGAGAGGTGGTTTGGTGAGGTTGAGTAAGGAGAGACGATTTTAAAGGCCTAGTTTGGCATGTTATTAAAGAATAGAAAGAGAACGTAAAGAAGAATAAAGATTTTTCTTTTTAAAGGGTTAGTTTGAAAGAATAGAGGAAGTTATTAAAGGGAAGAGATTTTTGGTGAGGTTTAATAAGGAGAGGTGTTTTTAAAGGACTAGTTTGGTATGTTATTAAAGAATAAAACAATTTGAGATAATGTAAAAGGTGTATTAAATATAAGGCTAGGTTAAGAAAAGAGCATTTACAAAGAGTTAAATAAAAGAGAAACATACAAAGAGAGGTTAAAAGAAAGAACGGAGCAAGAAAAGGGAAAAGAAAGCCCCTTTGCAAAGGGCAAAGCTAGACAGCCCGTGGTTGAGTCAGAGAGAGATCTTACCCTTCCAAGTGTTTCTGCGGAAAGAGGCAACTTCCCAGGTACACAGCCCCTCAGGCTTGTTACCACCGCCTTTGGGTCGGCCCAATCAGATGTGGTTCTATAGCCGTGTCATACAATTCATTTTCCTGAACCAATCCTACAGTCCCAAGACACCCTCCCCCCCCCCCCAACCTGCCTTAATCTTATATAAAAAAACAAACCCCAAGCATTTTCCCCGCCATGTAGCCCATTTACCTAGGGGCTTTAATAAAAGTTAAAACTATAAGCCCTTAGTAACAATTTCTAAAAGTTTCCCCCTATGTTTTAGACTAAGATGGGTTATTTTTTTTAATAAGGATAATCTGAAGCTGCAGCAAATCCCCTGTTAGCAAGCCTATATGAAGACACATCCCTTCACTTAGCACTTTTGCATATGTTTCAATAAAAAAAAAGCACGTAGAAGCACCCCAGACCTAAACAGACCAACCCTTACTAAGAAAAAGTTTTGAAAAGCTTTTCCCTGTGCCTTTAGTGAGAACAATTTGAAGCAGTCTTTTAAAGTTAGTGGATTAGAAAAGACGACCACTTTGAAAAACAAGTCTATCTGAAGAAAGAATGTTTCATTCAACCCTTTTGCGTGTGTTTCAATGACAAGTGAGCACGCAGAAACAACGCAGGGTTAAAAACACAGAAAATCTCTTTATAAAAGTAATGTCTAGTGATAAAAAAGTTTCCCCCTGTATTTTAGACTCACATGGGTCAGTTTTTAGTAAGGACAATTTGAAGCGGCAGAATTTTGCCGCAAAGCTACTGTCAGCAAAACCAGCGTCTGTAAGCCAGTGGATCACAGATCAGAAGGCTGCATCTTCGCCTGCTTTTTAACAGATACAAGTGAAAGTTATATTAAGTTTCGTAAAGGAATAAACACTTTAACAGACAAGTCTAGATGAAGGCCGAGCCCTTTAACATTTTTACATGTGTGTTTCAATTAAAAAACAGAAAAATGAGCATGCAGAAAACACCCCAGAGTGAAAACCACTGAACCGTAGTAACAGCTAGTTTATATTCCCCTTATTTTGTAATCCAGTGGATCAGAGAGAAGTTTATTTTCCTCCCCACTTTTTTAGCAAATCCATGCAAAAGTTATACTAAGTTTCTTCTCTTTTTTTTTTTTTGGCTTATTAATTTACCCATTGTAAGTAATTACTACCTGAGGAAGCAAACAGCTGGGCATATCTCTCTATCAGTTAGGTCTGCGGCTTTGGGTGCGTGGGTCAGACCTGGGTCTGCGTTGCAGCAGGCTAGCGTGTCTGGCTCGAAAAGACAGGGTACTGAAGACCCAAGCTGGCAGGGAAAACGGGTTCAGAGGTGAGCTCAGAGGGAGTCTCAGCACATTGGGTGACAGTCCCAAGGGGGTCTCTGTGACCCAACCCGTCACAACGGGGGCTTAGCGTGAATGAGAATCTGGCCCTGTGTCCGCGGGGGGGTGCGATCCCTTGGGAGCGGAGGATCTGTAGGTTCTCTGCTAGACAGAGGCCTGCGCAAAGGAATTGAAGGTGCCTCCCCATGGCTGGCAGCTCAGTGCTGGGAGAGGGACACAAATCCGGATTGGGTGTGAGCAGCAGGTGTTGAGCATTGTGGGGAAGATGGTGACTGAGCCTGGGGCCCCAAGGAAACCCCACAGTGAGTGTGATGCCACCAGCAAGGTTACCCCAGAGGTACAAAGACCATGACCCTGGGGCTGGGAAGCCTGGAAAGAACCAGGCGTTGGAGCAGCCGTGGGGACTGAGCAGTGAGCTCTGGGTCGGGGGATTTGTGTGAGCTGTGGGCTGGGCGCCTGGGGGCTGGTTACACTCTGGGACAATAAATCAGCCCCAGGTAGGGGTACGATTAGACACTGGGGTCTTTTAAAAAGGTCAATGGGAGGAAACCGAGGCAGGCGCACCTGTTGTGCTGCTAGTGGCTGCCAGAGGGCGCCACTGAGCAGGGCCGATTCTCCACCACATCTCCCGCCACACAGAGGGACCCAATACTTCCCCTCCTCCCACTCAGTGACATTCACCCTTCGGAAGCTGCAAGCAAGCGTCCCCCCGGAGCACCCTCGGGCTGGCGGGCTGGGGAACGCGCAGGCGGGATTGGCAGCCGCAGTGGGAGCTCCTCTGCTCTCAGACCCGTCTCCGGTCCCTGCCGGGGAGGACGTGCACCGCGATGATCCCGGCGCTCAGGGCTCCCAGCACCAGCAGCAGGACGATCCCCTTGACGCGGCAGTAGGACAGCGAGGAGGCCGGGGCTGATGAGTGAGCTAAAGGTGATGGCGTCAGTTCATGCACGGGGCAACCGGCAATGCGCCAAGAGCACAGCAGGGGACGGGGTCGGGGTGCCTGGGAACCTGCCCCCCGCTCCATACGGGGCAGGAGGAGACGCTGTGCAAACAGGGCTGAGTCTGGGCCAGGCCCCGCTGACCTCGGCTCTGGTGTCCCGTCTGGGGAATTGGAGTCAGAGGCCGCGTCCTGCCCCCAGGCACAGGAGCCCCCCGTCCCCAGAGCGGGGCCCAGAGGGCTCTGACGCGGCTCAGACGCCTCCTGAGCGGAGGGAGGTGACGGGGCCCAAAACAGCCCCTTGGGCCCCCACTCTGAGCCCCTCACTCTGCCGGCTCGTCCCTGCGCCCCCCACCCGTGAGCAGCTCATCACACCTGTGCAGGGTGGGGCTGTGACCCCTCCCCGGGGCAGCCTGCGCTGATGTTCCTGCCCCTCCCCCGCTACCTCCCAGGTAGGAGCCTTCTCAGAGCTGGGGGACGGGATGGGGTGGGGGGGTGATGCGGCCCCTTAAGTTAGTCAGTGTTTGAGATCAGGAGTGTTTAATAACTAAACTTCTCGGGGTTCCCCCCCCCCCCAATATCTCAGCCTGCGCACGGCTCTCCTTGGGCCCAGGCTGTTGCCCATTGACCCTGCGACGCTGCTCTGGTGACACAGACAAATCCAGAGCAAACCGCTCCCTGCCTGGCAGGTTTACAGGCTAAAATCTGCAGCCAGGTGGCTTCTGGGGCTGTGGGGGCCAGGTTCCGTTTGGGATGAAAGGCCTGGGACTGGTGCAAAGGCAGCGACCCGATGCCAGCTCCCCCCTGTGAGCACTGGGCAGCGCGATCCTGCAGAGGGAGTTACCTGCACAAAGGTCCTTTGCAGAGGCCGTTGTGGAGCTGTTACTGGCGGGGTTCTGGGCTGTGCAGGTGACGGCCAGGTGAGCATCACGGGGGCTCAGAGAGATGTGCAGAATGGACTCATTGGCTACAACAGCGCCCCCTGCTGTGTGAGTCCAGCTGTAGGTCACATGCTCCCCTCCATCCCTGACAGTGCAGCTCAGGTTGTAGTTACAGGTTTCACTCACACAGGTCACTGAGTCACAGAGGACAGTTGGCTCCGGTACTGGCTCTGCCGGGGGGAGAGAGACATGGAACGGGCTGAAATGCCCAGAGCATCTTGCGAGCCGCTGCCTGGATGTGGTGGGGAAGGTGAGGTGAACGCATGGAGCTGTCTGGCTCCTGGGGTTGCCCCTGCCCCAGGTGGAGGTGGGGGGAAGAAGGGAGGGATCGTTTGGGGGTGCTGGAGAAGTGGTGCCAGGAGGCCCAGCCTTGAGCTAGTTGAAATTCCTCACTGAAATGTGTTTCTGTCAGAAAAGGGGGATTTGCTGGAATTGGGGGGTTGGGGCCTGGGGCAAGTGGCCAGGCAGGTGAGGAAAGCCGCGTGCCAAAAGGAGTTTGGGTTTCTGATGAGCCAGGGCCGTGTGGGGTGGGAGCAGTGGGGCAGCAGACGGGGCGGGGGAAGGAGGTTGCAGAGGAGAAGTGGGCAGAGAGGCAGAGCTGGGGGGATGACGGGGGGTGGGGGAGAGGAAGGAACAGGAACAGGGAGGGGAGGAGAAGCAGCCGCACTGAGAGGTCTGCACAGACTCTGGGATCCTGTAGCCCTTGATCTCCCAGAGGAGGTCCCTGAGCAGGGCGGGTTCCAGCTTCCCCCGGGGTTCATCGGCCCCACACTTACTGTACACGCGCAGTGTGAAGTTTCTGTGGATGATGCCTGTAGCGGTGCTGATCTGAGCGCTGTAGGTGCTTGTGTCCTCCATCCTCAGGCTGGTGATCTGAAGCGAGTAGCTCTCGGGGACTCTCAGGCGTCCCTCGTAGGATGGGTCTGTCACAATGACATTGGGGGGGTTTCCTGCTATTACAATTACTATAGTCCTCGTTGCGTTTACTGTCCAGGAAACAGTTATAGGTTGCTGTGCTGGGATCCCCAGAGGGAAAGTGACGGAGTCCCCTAGAATCCGGCTCAGCTCCATGGCGCCTGCTTCTGCTCTGACGTACCCTGCCCCATGAGAGAGAACAGGAGCCTTTAGGACCAGATCGACCACACGCCCCGTCACGGGGACACCAGGCCAGTTCCCCTTCCCAGCCCTTGTGACACGTTCCCCCAGGAATGAGAGGGCGTTAGATGGGAGGGGGAGAGGGAGGGGTCAGTACCGTTTCCTATGGAGCTGGACCCAAACCCTCCCAGATTTCAGATCCCAGTGTCCAGCGCCCCATGGCCAGGCCGCCTTCAGCGCTGGGGCTGGGATATTACAGAGCCAGGGGCCAGCTGTCAGATGTGGGTCTGGATCTGGCTTTTGAACACGTCCGATCTCAGAGGGTTGAGATCCGGTAGCAGTAGGAGGCTCTTTCCCTCTGCTGTGAACCAGCCACTAGAGGGGGACAGAGAGCTGCACAGTGCCAGAGCAGGTTACAGGCTCTCACAGGCGTTTTTCCGGCTCAGGTTGAGTGGAGACTGATGATCCTATTACAGCCCATGGATGGCCGAGTCTGTCTATCCCCCGACCCACTTGTCTCCTTCTGGGGGTGCTTACACTGGTGCCCATCACCCCGGTATCTGAGCGCCTCCCAAGAGTAAGGGAGACAGCTGTGATTCCTCTCTCCCGTCCCAGCAGGCTCGGGCGGTTTCATGATCCCCACTGGCCGTAGCTGAGCGGGGGGTGACTGTGTTGAGTTGGGGGCTAGTGCAGGAAATTTGGCTGAAGAGGTGAATTTGCACCTAGCTCTGAATGTGGGGAGGTTTTAGATCCTCAGGGGCGAGGGACCCGCCTAAGGGTCAGGGCAGGGGGTTTTGGGCTAACAAAGGAGGGGGCTGCGGTGCTCCCAAAAAAGCCCTGGGGGGCTGGAGCTTGGGGCAGACCCAGCAAAGCCGCCTTTGGCTGCGGAGGGGGCATGAGTCTCTCAAGCCCATGGCAGGGTGTAGCGATGTAGTCTGGCTCCCCACCATCCAGACACCAAAGTGGGGGAAGCCAGCAAACCCTATGCCCGTCCCTCAGAGGTCAGGGTGCAGGACAGGAAGTATAAAAGCCCGACCCCAGAGCTCACTTGTCTCCCAGCCACCGGAGCGACCAGATGCTTGTGGTGTAGCTCCCGGTGGGGAGACCAGGGCGATCGGTGGCCGACCCGAAGGTTGGCCAGACCAGACACCATCTGACGCTAGCCCGAGCCCACAGACACTGCCAAGCCTACTGCTCGCCCATTACCCCGAGGAACTCCCAGGCCTACCGCTCGCCAGCTACCCCGAGGAGCCCTGGGGTGTGACCCCGCAGAGGACGCCGTCCGGACCCAGGTACCTCTAGAGGGGGAGTGTGGAAGTAGCCCGGGGGCAACCGACCCTGGTCTGGCCGCAGCACTGCTAGAGCCAATGTCAGTGTGTTGCGGTCAGGGTCCCCTGACACAGCAGCGGGTTTTCTGCCGCTGCTAGGTCCCCGGGCTGGGATGCAGTGGAGTGGGTGGGCCTGTGTGCCCCCTGCCACCCACCTCGCGGGTGCCCGTCTCCCCAGCTGCTCGAGCCAGGAGTCTGGAGTTTGCTATTCAACCGGTTCGCTCAGCCCCTGCCCGAGGGGCCTGAACCACTGACTGTTCGCTGCCCCGCTCTGACCCAGGGCCTGGGACTGCTAATACTGACTGACTGCTGCCGGATCACGCTACTTCCCCAACACACCTGACCAGTGCGGCGAAGTGGTCTGGGTCCCCACCGCCCCGAGGGGGGCGTGCCCGAGCCAACCAGCCTACACAGGGGCTGTTTGTGGGGGGCCCCCATTTCCCTCCTAACTTTGTGGAGGATTTGAGGTGGTTCACCCAAAGCTCCGTAAATTCCCCTGATGCACGTCCCATCTTTGTTCACCTCCTGTGGTTAGCAGGAGATGAGATCACCCCCCCAGTCCATTTCAGGGAGTGCGTTAGATCTCGCTGTCCAAGGGCGCCAATTAGGTTGGGAAGGGGGTGCTGCCACGCCCCAGAGTTTCATACAGGAGGTGTGCTCGTGGGGGGAGCTCTTCACTGCGCAGAGTTAGTGTGGATTGTGAGTTCTGCAGAGAGGTGTTTTCTCAGCTTGTGTCCCTGGGGCAGGGAGTTAGTGCTTTGTTTACAAACAGAGGCAGGGTGATTGAGATAAGAAAAGGCTGGTGTGATGGGTTCCATCACAGAGACCCCCTTGGGACGGTCACCTGATGTGCTGAAATGACCTCTGAGCCTGTTTTCCCTGCCCGCTTGGGACTCCAGAACCCTGCCTTGTGGAGCCAGACACGCCAGCCTGCTGCAACCCGACCCAGGGGCTGGTCCACGTCCCCAAAGCTGCAGACCTAACTGAAAACTGCTCAGCCGGTTACCTGCCTCCAGCACCCAGACACCCAGCTCCCAATGGGATCCAAACCCCAAATACATCAGTTTGACGCTGTATAAAGCTTATACTGGGTACATTCATAAATTGTCCGCCCTCTAGAACACGGATAGAGAGAGATGCACGGCTGTTTGCTCCCCCAGGGATTAATCACTTAGGCCTTGGCTACACTTGGCAATTCACAGCGCAGTGAAGCGCGAGTGTAGTCGCGCCGTCAGCACTGCGAGAGCTCTCGCAGCACTGTATGTACTCCACTTCTCCGAGGGGAGTAGCTTGCAGCGCTGCGAGCGAGCGGGCTGCGAGCGAGCGTGCAGCGCTGCAGGCGCTGATTACAGTGGTGCTTTACAGCGCCGCTCTCGCTGCGCTTGGGGGGGGCGTTTTCACACCTCTGAGCACAGCAAGTTGCAGTGCCGTACAGCGCCAGTGTAGCCAAGGCCTTCCTCTGGGTTTATTAATAAACAAAAGTGATTTTATTAAATATAAAAAGTAGGATTTAAGTGGTTCCAAGTAATAACAGACAGAACAAAGTAAGTTACCAAGCAAAATAAAGCAAAAACACGCAAGTCTAAGCCAAATACAGTAAGAAACTGATTACAGATGAAACCTCACCCTCAGAGATGTTCCAATAAGATTCTTTCACAGACTAGACTCCTTCCTAGTCTGGGCCCAATCCTTTCCCCTGGTGTAGTCCTGGTTAGTTCCAGCAGACATCTCAGGTGGTAAGCAGGGGTTTTCTCAGGACTGGCAGGCTGTTTTGTCCTGCTCCACCCCCTTTTATAGCTTTGGCACAAGGCGGGAATCTTTTGTCTCTCTGGGTCCCCACCCCTCCTTCTAAATGGAAAAGTACTAGATTTAAGATGGATTCCAGTATCAGGTGACATGGTCACATGTCACTGTAGGACCTCTAGTCTCCATTCCCCATGGGCTGGCCCAGGCGTCCACAGGAAGGCTTTCAAGTAACTAAGACCATTTACAACTGATTGTTTCTGGATCACCCTTAATGGCCTCCACTTCATATGTTTATATCAGTGATAAAGGTTCATATCTTATTCTAATAACTCCAAATATAGAAATAAGACACGTAAACAAATAGGATGAACACACTTAGTAGATTAGAAGCTTTCTACTGACACCATACAAGGGGTATTTAGCGTAAAGCATATTCCAGTGATGTCATATTCATAAGCATATTTCCATGAAGCATATGGAGTGCACCGTCACAGCTGGTAATTAAATGAAGGATCTGGAAGTGGTTAGAGATGAACCTGTAACACAGGAATCCCTGTGTGGGTGAGGGGTTGAGGAGAGAACTCAGGGGACTCAGACGAAATACAGCCAAGCCCTGTGAGCCCAGGCTACATTCAGAACAGAGGAAGGTGTGAGGGGCATAGGTGAAAAGAAGGGGCCAAACCCCAGGGCAGGACTAGCAGTGGCACAGAGAAGTTCCCACGCTACCTGTGGTACTGATGTGGCCCCATCACTGCAGTATCTGAGCACCTCACATCACAGCCCCTGGGTGAGGCAGAGCTGTGCTGTTCTCCCCATTGTACAGATGGGCACTGAGGCACACACAGACTAACAGCCAGACTTTCACAGGTATTTAAGCACCGAATGGGATTTTCAAAAGTGCCTAGAAGGTTCGGTGCTTTGTAAACCCCACTGGATGCCTCCTGGCTGCATCAAGATTTTAAACCTAACCAGTGTCCCTTCAGTGACTTGCCACAAGATGTCAGGACATGTTAGTATTAGAGCTGAGTGGGTCTAATATTTATTTAATGTTCTTTCTTTATAAAGGAATTAGAAACTATTATCTGACAGAAGCACTGTATCTCTCTTATTATCTGCAAAAAAACCCAAGAGTTTTCAGGTGCCCAGTAGCCTCTGAAATCGTGGTTAAGGTGCCCAGCTCTACCCAACCGAAATCTGAAATGGCACCACTGTCTCTGCCCCCATTTCCTGCCCTGGAATTCAGACAGATCACTCACCGCCGGGCTGTAAAACCAGCAGGAGGAAGAGAAGGGAAGGCCGTAGAGCCCCCTCCATCCTGACAGCAAGGGGCAGGCAGAGCGGGCGGCCGTCAGTCCATATAACGGGTGTCCTGACCCAACAGAGCCGGAGTGGGTTGGCTGGCAGGGTTTGCTGAGTGGCCGATCCCTGATTGTGCTAAGGGGCTGCAGAGAAATGACCCGCCCCACTGCTCTGCAACTTCCCCTGCGAGATGCTCTTTCCTTTTGTGGTAAGTCGCGCAATGAGCTATAAGTAGCCCAGGGCGCTGGGTTGGGGAAGGTTCCTCTAATTGCTCAGGGCTGAAAGGGTCTGAAACACACACAGCTCCTGAGATATTGGATGGTTCTGTGTATTGCACCGGAGAGCCTGTCACGCTAGGAATTCTCAGTTACCCCGGGGCCCCTTGACACGGCTCTGACAATGAAAAGCGCTTCGACGGGGCTCCCAGTACATAGACACCCACTGTCAGGGCCCTTTGCACAGCCAGGGTGGTGTGACGGGGGCTTGGCGTGAATGAGAATCTGGCCCTGTGTCCCGGGCGGCTGTGATCCCCTCTGAACGGAGGGTCTGTAGGTTCTCTGCTAGACAGAGGCCTGCGCAAAGGAATTGAAGGCACGTCCCCATGGCTGGCAGCTCAGTGCTGGGACAGGGACACAGGGTGTGAGCAGGAGGTGCTGAGCATTGTGGGGAAGATGGTGACTGAGCCGGCGCCCCGAGGATAAGCATATTTCCACAAATCACGTGGAGTGCAACGTCACAGCTGGTAATTAAATGAAGGATCTGGAAGTGGTTAGATGAACCTGTAACACAGGAATCCCTGTGTGGGTGGGGGGTTGAGGAGAGAACGCAGGGGACTCAGAAGTATCAGGGGGTAGCCGTGTTAGTCTGTATCTACAAAAACAACAAGGAGTCTGGTGGCACCTTAAAGACTAACAGATATCTGTTAGTCTTTAAGGTGCCACCAGACTCCTTGT